TCCACCCCCTGTCTCGGGTAGCTTGAATAGTCTACTGGAAGTTAGATGTTTGATTACTGGCAGCAAAAATGCCTTTCTGTTGTTGGCAACAGCTTTAAGCTTAATTCAGCAGCTCTGACATTCTGCCTCCTGTATCCATAGAATAAAATAGTTTCTGTGGCTTCCATAGTAGAGAATGGAGCTGTAGATCTTATCTTCAGTATGAAAAGCATGAAAACAAAGAACTTTATGATGCCATTGTTACCTTTCCAGACAGGAGTTCTAAAAATGTTGTCTTTAAACTCTGGTGCTTATAGAGATTCTGGGAAATAAAGCAAAATCTAGAATACTTTATATATATTAATTTCTATCTGCCTCCCACCAATTTTTGATGGAGTAAGTAAATAAGAGTAACACATTTGTTAGTAGCTACAAATACATAATGGTGAATGGTATTATTCTTACCTTGCCTTTATGCGTATATTTAAAGAGACAGATTTCTTGTGTGTGATTGATGTTTCCACATGGCAGGTACTGTGTTTGATACTAGATATCTAACTGTTAAATTCACACAGCTAAGTATCAAATCTGTGTGTAATTTGTTGGGGATTCCTTCAACAGAGGACACCATGAATGTAGTCATACTGCAAACTGGTTGTCAGTCAAAGCCAGACGCTCACCTGTTTTCAACAGACAGCATAGGAATTGCAAATGAATGGAGCAGCAGTCTTAACTCTACAAACAGCATTACAAATAGCAGTGGGCAGTCTGGAAATGTAAGTGTAAATAATTCTGGAAAAGTTAATAATAATAATCACTGTGCCAATATGCAATGTTTAACATCTGTTGTGTTGGTTTTTTTTGTACTTCATCAAAAGAGTAAAAAAGCAAAGCAGTTATAGTGAATGTCAGGTAATAATATTTAACTGGTACTATAAGCATAAATGGAATTTCTGCCCTTGGCATGAGTTTAGACTGTATGATTTGTGTTTTCTGTTGATTTTTGTCTTCATATGCAATATTTTGAATGCTACAGTGAGGATCATAATCGTTAATTTACATATGTCTCTTTTTTCTATAGGAAAGGTTTTATTCATGGAAGATCTTGCCTGATCCTAGCCCTCTCCTCTGCCATTATTGGTTAACATTAGGGCTGAATTAATGTCCTAGCTGAACATGCTTTATACTTAAAACTTCTTAGAGTGGCACAGTACATGCAGTGTGCTTGGTACTAGAGAGGTGCTTCATTACAAGGGTGATAAGTGTAGTTTATATTCGCAAATTTTATCAGTTAAGGATAAGGGAGAGGAAAGACAAATATATATTGCAGAACTTTTATTATCTTCCTTTTAGTATCAGTTGTAATAAATCTTTCTGTTAGGTTTTATGTTCATTGCAAAACAATTACATATAAAGATACTGACATCTCTCCTCTTCTCTCGCGACTTCCATTTTTCTTACCTCATTTGCAGTGCAGAGCCATAAGCACATACACATTTATTCCCAGTTTTTACTTCTACCTTCTCAGTGTGGTTGATCTATACTGTCTGGTTAGAAACCAGGTAAAAGGACATATTTTAAATAATGTTAAGAAGAAATGGCCAATAAATAGTGCAGTTGTTTGAACTCCTGGATTTCTTTCATGTAGCGTCATATTTCTATCCTGTAGATTGAGAATAAAGATACTGATATGCCTCCATTTTATCTATCAGTGCAGAAGTCTGCTTTGTGTATGAAGGGGTCTGAGGGACGGTATGCCTTTTTAGTTAGGAACCTAGTTTTCTTGTTGCTAAGGTTCTGAAGCTTTCAGGAGGGACCCTTAAAAGCATCTGTTGCTAATGAAAAATCAGGTTTGTCTTCTGTTTTTCCATGTTTTAATTGTTAAGTTTTGTTTCTTGCTTTCACCTTCTCTATCTGCTGTAAGCTGCTTAATTTTAGTATTTAAATAGTCAGGCTGTTTTCCTTCCTCCCTCCATTTTATGTATCCCAATATTTAAGTTCATGGTTTGTGCTTTTCTCTCTGTTCCAGTAAGCTGCCTGCCTTTCTGTCCCCTCGTTCATCTTTGTTCTTATCGCTGTCAAGATACGCACCCTGAGTAAACTTACTTTAAGTGGTTTTTATCATGCTGAAATTAGACTTCTGTTCCTCTCTACCTTTGTGTCTTCAAAACAAAATCTTCCTATTTATCTTCCAAAACTTCTTTCACATATTCTGTATGCTGGGAGAGTATCCTACTGTACTATTTGCTTATAGAGGAAAAGGATGATGTAGTACTTGAGCGACTTAAATTGAGTTCTCAGCTCAATCATAAAATTCCTCTTTGACTCTAAGCAAGCTGCTTATGTCCTGATTTATGTAATATGGTCATACTATTGTCCTATCTGTTAACATTATTGGAAGAATGAGTCCATTAAGATTCTGTGGATCCAGGTTGATAGGGAGGGAGGCTGTATAACTGTTTAATTATATACCTTCTTATCTCACCTATACTGTATTCTTCTGTGTTCATCTAAGTTGCCTTGTCATTCCTCTTTACTTAAGAATTCAGAAAATAATCTCCTCTTCAGCCTTTTTTAGTGAGTTCAGTTTCCATGGAGAGCTTCTACGTCTGTTTCTTTACATCCATGTTCTGCCTTCTGGTTTGAAGCATCTAACATTATACTTTTGTCAGTCTTTTTGCTTGATTGAGTGATTGTTTTAGTTTAGTTTTCCAGAGCAAAATGGCACAAAATTGTATTGTAAGCTCTTAATGCTGACATGTTAATGCCACCATTGATACCTACTGTAACCAAAAGGATCACAAGAGTGGCACCTTATGGTCTTACCTAATGGTCTAGATACCTGATATTACCTGTTTTTTATTCTGTATCTCAAGCCCAGGGTGAACAAGGGCATCATTCCCTACTTATGGCACTGTTGTCACCAGGACAGGTAATCCATAATGGCTGTCTTCCTTCCTCCTGCTTGCCCTACTCTTCATTAGGCCACGTTATAGGGAAGCAACCATGATGTATATCTTCCTGTGTTGGTAAAATAATCCTGTGTTGCCTAGCTGAAAAAGTAGACATGAAATACACATCTGAGAAACATTTTGTGCAGATTAGGGAATTCATCCTTAAGTTGAGTCAGTAGCTTATCTAAATTGGTATCTTTCTTTGCATGTTAGTCTGCCTTCACTGTCTAGTCATTTTATTTTACATATTTGTCTCCTGCATTAAGCAGCCTCATGCTACCAGAAGTATCTTTTAAAATGTACTTACAAGATGTAACTATGTTATTAATAAAGTTGTAAAAATCTTCTGATATGGAACTGAATACCATATTTTTTTATTGGCCAAAAAAAAATAATTTCACTTGAAAGACAATTTTCCTTTTTTTCTGGCCAGTGTCCTTTTATTTTCTTTTTCTCTAGCATAAATAAAAGATTTCAGTATTTTAGAGCTGAAGAAATGTGTGAGCTTTGTATCACCATGCACAGGGGAAGTCCTCAGTTTAGGATCTAGAGTAAATGGTAACAGAAAGGGAAATGTTACATACTCTTAACAAGCTTGTGGTCAAAACATGAATTCTTCATTTGACTTCTGAGGAGATTTTGTCTGAGTAAACCTTGGCTATCAATAAAATTATTTTTGTTGTGGTGCCCACTCTTCTCTTTCTGTCATCTCTCAGGCTATGTGTACATTTCAGACTGTTGTGTAGAGAAACTGTCTTTCAATTTCAGAAACAATCTATGTAATTACAGAACTCTACATAGATAAGGTTGATGACAGGAGATTTCATGCCAGGGGTAGGACTGAGTGAATGCATAGGTAATAATCTTCACTGAATATAGGGCTTACATTTGATGGGGCTGTTTTTTTTTCTATCCAGGGTTAAGACCTCATCTAGGTTCATGTCTGCCCTCTACCTGATTTATAGAAATTTGAATCTGAAGTTCCTGCTTCTTAGGAGTGACATTTTGAAGTTACACTATTCAGGGGAGAGAGGTATCTCTTGATAAAATCCTGATTTGTATTTGAACAAACCAAAACAACTTTGGCAGAATCTCACTCCGTTATTGTATTGACTAGTTCAGGTCCTTCAGAGCTGGCAGATTCTGTCTGAGGAGGAGAAACCACAGAAGTGATTGAAATATGTGTATCATCATCAAGTGTTCTCACCACCTGGGTGTTAAGCATAAATATAACTGTTTATATACTGCCTTTGTGAGTCTAGTTCTAAATCTAGTTTAAGAAAATTGATACTTAAAAATGCAGAAATAAGCAATGCCCACAATTCCACTCAGTCATATAGGATGCTAGCATCTGAGTTAATAAATTTCAAATTGATCAGAATTGTACTTTTAACAGAAAAATTGTCCAGACCTACTTACTGATTCTGTCTTCAGCTTGAGACTTTTACTTTACAAGTTTAAAACACTCTGGAAAATCTACAGCAGAACTAAAAGTTGTACATTCAGTAATGTTTTAAATATAAAAAATGTTAATTTACTACTAAAAAAAATTCATATTTAGGTATAAGAATTTCAGAAGATAGCCTTTTGAGATTTACAAACAATCCCTGAGATACTTCTTACCAAGATGCTACATCTCTTTTTCTTTCCTAACTGCTTGGCTTGATCCAGATGAGTTATTTTAATAGAGTGAAATGTTGTATAATGCTTGCATTAAACTGTAAATTAAGAAATATATGAATCAATGGAAATCAGGGTTGTCAGAAATTAACTATTCCTTTATTGTAAATTAGTATCCATGATGAAGTAATCTCCACCTGTGATTGATTTTGTGTGTAGGGGCAAACAAGGCTGTATTCTGATATATGCCAATACATCTCCTTTTGAAGTCTGCATATTTACAGTAGCTCTGTGTTACTTTTGTCATCTGGCACTTTTTTAAGCTAATACAAAAAATGTATATAAGGAGACCAAAGTTAGTTGATTGAATTTACGTAAGACTGAAATTAGTAATTTGATTGTTACAGAGGGAGACTATAGCTATAAACATAAAAAAATATCATAGTATATTAGACACTATTTTCTGTCTTCTACAGATTTGCTGTTCTTCAAGTCCAACTGTAACATCAAGTTCTGGTAGCAATAGTTCTTTATCACCCCTTGGACATCTTTGCAGACAGAGATCATTAGCAAATGGTGTTTTGTGTTCTGAGTCTAGCACATCAGGTGTTTCTTCACCAACATCTAGCTATCCAAAAGCACCAGGTTTTGAACGAGAAGATCAGGTATGTAAATATTATGGGCCTAGAAGTACAAATGCAATCTTAAGTTATAGTAAATTCAACAGAAAATGTTTTTTGAGTTGTGTATTGGCACTGATTTTTGGTAATTTAGAGCACAGAGTTTGGAACCCTCTTCTTTAGTGAGCTAAATTGCATCAAATTAAATTCTCCCAACCCAAGAGCACTCATGTAAACAGCCAGTGAAGCTCTGCTGATATGTAGTGAATTCTAAATTATTTGCAGAAGTGTTACTGTCATTTTGAGCCCGTGTTGCAAAGAACAGAGCAAGGTAACAACTGAAAAAATATACTCGGATAGGAATCAGTTTTCATTATTGTTGAAAATGGATGGTGAAAAGATTTCTATGAATTTTAATACTATTTGTGGGTTCCAATCTTTGCTTAATTTCAGTCTGTTTTCTTCTCCCACCTGCAGCTGCTGCTCTCCTTGAACAAGCTAATTGCTGAGACATACATAGATGATAAAATGAAACAAGCCTCTTGGAAAGAGAGAGAGAGATTTGTAGCATTAACAGTGAGAAGGGAGTGGTTGAAATTGAAGTTTGTAAGGTGTTACAAGCCTTTAGTTGGGGGGTGGGGAGAAAACAAGCAATGCTAGAGATGGGGAGAAGGGAAGACTTGTTTTTCAGTGTTGGCAGCTCTGTTGGCCTATGAGAAAAAAAAGCTGAAAACCTAGGATTTACCTACTAAAACTGTATTTTCCTCACTCTGTTGTAGTAGTGGTTACATTTATAAATTGTCAGAAAGGAGCTGTTTAAAAAAAAGGAACTTAAATGGCACATTTAAAAATGCTGTAGCCAAGCTGGTCAGCCTTCTTGCAAAGCTGTGACTTGTCACAATTTATAACCTGATATGCGTAGAGAAGGGCGGAAGTAACAGATGGAAAAATGAATGAAAGGAAGGAAAGTGGTTTTATTTGTAAATGGTAACTTGTTGTAGGTGATGGCAAGATCATTACTTGAGAGGAAAGTTCTCCAAGCAGGATTGCTTTCTTACCTATAGATGTTCAGACAGACTACAGAGAGCTGGTCATTGTGACAGGAATGATTGCCATCTCCCAGTATAGAATCATAGAATGGGTTGGGTTGGAAGGGGCCTTTAAAGGTCATCTAGTCCAACCTCTCTGCAGTCAACAGGGACAGCTTCAGCTAGATCAGGTTACTCAAAGTCCCATCCAACTTGACCCTGAATATTTCCAAGGATGGAATTTCTACCATCTCTTTATGCAACCTGTTCCAGTGTTTCAGTGCCCTCATATTAGAAAAATTATTCTTAATACTTGGTCTAAATCTTTTAGTTTAAAACCCTTATCCTGTCACTACAAGTCCTGCTACATAGTTTGTCACCATCTTTTTTATAGGCTCCCTTTGAGTATTGAAAGGCTACAAAAAGGTCTCCTTTCTGCCTTCTCCTCTCCGTGGTGAACAACCCGAGATCTCCAAGCTTTTCTTCATAGGAAAGGTGTTCCATCCCTCTGATCATTTTGGATTATAGGCATCAAGTGATCATTGATCAAATGTCAAGGAAGCAGGGCATTTCCAGTATCAAATACCTGCTTTCTGGATGTGAGGCTGCAGTAACTGAGAACTTAGGTAACCATTGGTGAAGATCTGTTTTGCTGGTTTGGTCACACACAATTAGTGAGTAATGTACTGCTATAAAGAATGTCTCTCATCAGCAGAAATGTTATATGCTTGCCTTTTAGTGGCCACATTGAACCTGTCTAGAGAGTAAGAGCAGTGATAGACTTCACAACTGATAAAAATGTATCTAGAGTGGTGGCAGTCATTTAAAGAGGAGAGTCATTACTGCTAGGGAGCTTTCACTACAAGACAGATTAGGAATCTCCCAAAGGAAACAAGGAACAGACACAACAAGATTTCTCAAAGACAGCTAACAGAACCATATTTCCTAAGCAGACAGCATTTTGCAGAGTTTACTGCAATTCAGGAAGTCAGTGAAAATTACTGACCTGAAAAGAACAGAGATCCTTTGATCCTGCTTTGCAAGATCTCAGTGGGCAAAGAGAAACTGCTTAGAATTCCCTTTTATATAAGTATGTCTCACATGATTTAAAAGTTGCTTCATTATAAAATTATGTTGAAAGAAGACCTGCTCTTATGTTTTATTTTTTGTTCTCTTGTTTTTTGTTTGGTTTAGTTTTTTGTTTGCTTGCGTTTTTTCCACTCAAACTTTTGGCTACTTACCCACCAGCCTCTTGCAGAAGTATTCCCCAGCTGGTGAGCATGTGGGACATGTTATTTCTGTCACAGCATAAAGCTAACATGGCTACCCAGCTTTTGGACCAGAAACAACACTCGTGCTTAATTATGCATATAAGTGGAACAATTGCAACTGCTGTTCCTTTTCCATGTAGATGTACTATATGATCACTAAAGTTTAATTCTCTGTATGAAACTGCAGTGAGGGAAATTAAATCAGCCTGTTGAAGATATCATTATGGAGATGCCACTGACCCTTATAAACTAATAATATATTTTACAGCAATGACTCATAAAGTTCATATATTACAGAGATTTTCCTTCTTTCAGGCAAGGCATCGAAGCTTTCCAGCTGAGAATCAGCAGAAAATAAATGAACAAGACAACAAGCAGGTACTGTCAAAAGCTAAATGCCGTAAATATTTTGCTCTTTTTGGTAATTTGTTAATGTAGTATCCAAGTTATGTGGTGCTTTACAACATATTCTAAGGAAAAATTGTGCCCAGTGATGGGACAAGAAACAGTAGGCACAAACTGAGACGTGGGAGGTTCTGTCTAAATATATTTAAAAGTCTTTTTTACTGTGCATGTGAGCTTAAGCGTCGGAAGAGGCTGCACAAAGGAGGGTAGATTTAGTTTGGATATAATGACAAAATTCTTCACTATGAGGGTGGTGTGACACTGGAACAGGTTGCTGAAAGGAGTTGTGGATGCCCCATCCCTGGAAGCGTTCAAGGTTGGGTTGGGTAGGGCTTTGGGCATCATTTCAAGCACTTCACCTTCAGCAGCGGGGTTGGGCTAGGTCATCTTTAAAGGTCCCTTCCAGCCCAAACTGGTTTATGTCTGGAAGTCTGCAGTCTCATCTACACCCTTGTCAAAGTGAGGTCAGCTAGAGCACATTGCTCAGTGCCTTGTCTAGTAGTGTTTTGGATATCTCCAAAAAAGAAGACTCCACAGCTTCTTTGAGCAACACGTTCCAGTGTTTGATCACCATCGCAGTAAGAATTTTTTTTGTGATTAAAGGGAAATTTCTGTTTCAGTTTGTTCCTGCTTTTTAAGAAAAGAAATTGTTCTTACAGTCATTATCAGTCTCAATCTTGCATTTTATCTACCTTTGAAATAGAACTTTTCTGTGATATTAATAGAATCAGAAGAGTAGACACTGCACAATCACTACTTGTCACGTGGAAGGCAATGGGAGGTTATGTGGGTTGATTCAGTCAGTTAAATGTTGGTTTTATTCACTTAAAGATGGGAGGGAATAAACAATAAAAATTAATATACTGGAAACTCTGCACCAAGTTCCTGTAGACTTTGCAAATTTATTTTTCATTTTATCATGTTACATGGTTACATTTTGTTAGGATTTGTTACATTTTATAATTTAAATGTTGATTTATATGAAAAAATGCTCAGCCAGAAAGAAGTAGCACAGGTACAGGTCATTTTATAATATGAGACGTGTGCTGTGCAGTCATGTTTCTCAACTATCTATAAACTGGAAGTCAGTTTATGTACCAGTTAAATTTAGATGAACTTATGAGAAAATTTGCTGAGCAAAAAACCACAATAGAATGAAATTTGCATACAAATGCATAACAAAATGGTACAATTCCCCAATAGATATTTTCCTTTTGAAAAGGAGCATTAGACTTCAGCTAAGTAATTGTGCTTGTAGAGCTTATTTGCAAGTATTGATACACCTTTGGTTCTGAAAGCACCATTCCCTCGAGTGGTAGTGATATCCAGCCACACTGGAGAAATGCACTTTCTGGTAAATGATAAAGAAAAATATCCTAGTCCATTAATTCAGAAGGTTCTTCTGGAATTTTTTTCTGTTTGAATTAAAAATAACTATTTTTAAAAATACCTTCTGTTTATATGTTTGCACATACGTTTGTGTATGTGTGTGTGTATATATATATATATGTTGCTTGTGTTTTTTTTAGCAGAATCATCTCGGTGTTTTTTCAGTGGTTAACCCACTTGCTTCAAGTATAACTTCCAGTCTGGCATCCAGTGTTGGATCAGATAGTTCATCTCCTACAACTGTCTCTGCTCTCAGCACCAAAGCTCTCCCATTCTATTCTGGCAATAACACAGTTGAATTTGTAATAGGTAAGTAATAGAATCATAGAATGTATTGGGTTGGAAGGGACCTATAAAGGTCATCTAGTCCAACCCGCCTGCAATAAGCAGGAACATCTCCAACTAGAGCAGACTGCTCAGAGTCCCATTAGGCCTGACACTGAATGTCTCCAGGGCTGAGGTCCCCACCACCTCTCAAGGCAACCTGTTCCAGTGATCCACCACCCTCATATTAACAAGCTTTTACCTAGTGTCCAAACCTAAATCTAACCTTTTCTAGCTTAAAACCATTACCCCACATCCTATCTTTACATGACCTAGCAAACAGCTCTTTCTCAGCCTTATTGGCTCCTTTCAGGTATGGAAGGGTCTTGATTAGGTTCCCTGGAGTCTTCTCTTCTTCAGGCTGAACAACCCCAACTCCCACAGCCTGTCTTCATAAGAGAGGTGCTCCAGCCCTCTGATCATTTTTGTGGCCCTTCTCTGGACACTCTCCAGGAGGTCCACATCCTTGTTGTGTTGGGAACTCCAGAGCTGGATGCAGTACTCCAGGTGAGATCTCACCAGGGCAGAGTAGAGGGGCAGAATTGCCTCTCTTGATCTGCTAGCCACGCTTTTTTGGATGCAGCCCAGGACGTGCTTGGCCTTGTGGGCTGCAATTGCACATTGATGGCTCATGTCCAGCTTTTGATCCACTAGTACCCCAGGTCTTTTCCCACAAGGCTACTCTCTAGCATGTCTTTCCCCAGCCTGTATTCTTACCTCTGGTTGCCCCAGCCCAGGTGTAAGCCCCTGGACTAGGCCTTGTTGAACCTTGTGAGGTTCACCTGGGCCCTCAGAGTCCCATTAGGCCTGACACTGAATGTCTCCAGGGCTGAGGTCCCCACCACCTCTCAAGGCAACCTGTTCCAGTGATCCACCACCCTCATATTAACAAGCTTTTACCTAGTGTCCAAACCTAAATCTAACCTTTTCTAGCTTAAAACCATTACCCCACATCCTATCTTTACATGACCTAGCAAACAGCTCTTTCTCAGCCTTATTGGCTCCTTTCAGGTATGGAAGGGTCTTGATTAGGTTCCCTGGAGTCTTCTCTTCTTCAGGCTGAACAACCCCAACTCCCACAGCCTGTCTTCATAAGAGAGGTGCTCCAGCCCTCTGATCATTTTTGTGGCCCTTCTCTGGACACTCTCCAGGAGGTCCACATCCTTGTTGTGTTGGGAACTCCAGAGCTGGATGCAGTACTCCAGGTGAGATCTCACCAGGGCAGAGTAGAGGGGCAGAATTGCCTCTCTTGATCTGCTAGCCACGCTTTTTTGGATGCAGCCCAGGACGTGCTTGGCCTTGTGGGCTGCAATTGCACATTGATGGCTCATGTCCAGCTTTTGATCCACTAGTACCCCAGGTCTTTTCCCACAAGGCTACTCTCTAGCATGTCTTTCCCCAGCCTGTATTCTTACCTCTGGTTGCCCCAGCCCAGGTGTAAGCCCCTGGACTAGGCCTTGTTGAACCTTGTGAGGTTCACCTGGGCCCACTTCTCCAGCTTATCCAGGTCCCTCTGGACATACAATTTTGGGTTGTACGTGTTTTGTTGCATAATTCAAGTTCTTGTTTCCGCATAGTTTCAGAGACTTTATTGGTAAAAACTGTGATGCTGTACATACCTGCCTTATTACATGTAATTAAAAGCAGTATCTGAATTTTAGTTTTAAGTGTTTTCACTCACAGTTTTTTTTCACAAGGTCTCCAATGTGAGCATAGAAATGAGAGAATAGGACATTTAAACTAGAATTTTGGCATTGATACTGACCCAGTGATTTAAAAAAAATGTGTAAAACCTTCATAATGCAACTTACTGTTGGTAGGGTCACTGTGTTTGTTGGTGGGCTGGTGAGATTTTTTTAATGTTACCATAGCAGGTGCAGGTACAGATCTTACCATATTCACATGAAAATGGGAGATTTTTCTTTGGCTGACTGCATATTCTCCAGTCTGGTTATTTGTGTGTTCGATGCCAAAATATTTTGTTCACGCTATGTGGACGAGATCTGAAAGGACACAAAGAAGAGAAGCTGTTGCTTTCTCGGTGCACAAGACAGTTTCTGGGACATACTTCGAAAATTGCTGTCATTCACCCAGAGCGTTTTCTGTGCTTCCAACCAGCTAGGCTGTTTATGTGGAAGATGGATAAATATTTCAGTAATAATTAGACACTAGGAACTTAAAAACTGGTTGTGGTCCTGCTGCTGTGGTCTCATAGGTGCTGGATAGAGAGGAACAGTCACTTCCCGCAGCCTGCTGGTGCCACTTTTACTAATGCAGTCCAATATGCTGTTAGCTTTTATTGCCACAGAACATGCTGAATGTGTCATTCGTCAGAATTCTGTTCTCCAGCCTTTCAAGATTCTAAACAGCAGTCCTGAAATCAAGTGTATCAGCTGCTCCCCTTAATTTAGTGTTATCCAGAAACTTGCTGAAAATTTGTGGCACTTTTAAACAAAATGTGTTTTATTCAGGAGGCCGTGGCAGGGAATGTTGAGATTTGGAAGGTAACGTATTTCACATTCTGTGGCATAAGTCACATGATCAGGGAGTCTCTGTGATTAGCTGGTGCACTTGAAGCTTTCAGTGTTTAAATCGATGTGTAGCAGCAACCAGGAGACTGCAGACAGTGAGTCAGCACTTCAGCATGGTAAGTTAGGCATTTGGTCTTCTGATATTTTTAGGAAGTAATTATGCAGAGTATTAAATGGTGGATCTTTTTCTGCAGTCTCACAATGTATAGCTTTCTTTGCTTAAAGGTTTGTTTGATGATGTGTATGTTAGAACAGAAAAAAAATCTTAATTTATTTTTAAATTTCAGAACTAGAATGAGCAGAATTTTTGCAAGTATTATAATTGGCTTATGATTAATACTTTTAAGATATACTATGGAATGAAATCACGTTTTTGTCAAGATAAATATTGCTTCTGGAATAAGTAGAGGCTAGTTGGCTGTAACAAGTAAATCATAACAAAAGACAGACTGATTTCTGTATATTAGATGTGGTGCTAATTCAGTATAATTTTTAAGCAAGTGTTGCAAAGTTGTTTAAACAGTGATATGCTGTGTTTCCCATGTCCCATTGAGATTGGTTTTGACCATAAGAGAGTTTTGATTCCTCCAAGTTAGAATATGAGCTGCTGTCTACAGATGTTATTCTAAAACAGTTTTCAGTATGCTGTTAACATAATATGAATTATAAAATACATGTCTCATGTATGTATAAGTTAGTGTACTTTATGGCAGCTGTGTAGATTTAGGTTTTTTTCCTTTAAAAGAATTTCATATATATGAAAATTATTTTCCCTGTGTTCTGCTTCATGGATATTCAGAATGGCATTGAAAATAAAGTGCTGCACATAATCTGAATAGAGCAGAAAATTAGGATGTTATTGTAGAACAGACAATCAATACATAGTGTTCTTGTAGGAAGTGATGGACTGAAGGGGATCGTTGAAAAAAGGATCAAAAAAGAGCTGCAGCAAGGGAAGGGGTGATATGACTATGGGAAAAGAGCATGGATGGGTTTGGACAAAGGATTAGAGGAAATGCAGGAGAGTTCCATTAGCAGGGGCTGAGGAAGCTTTGCCAGACAGTGGGGTCTGTAGCCCTTTCTCTGACCCTTTATCCTTGATCTCATGGGGAGCTCTGTCTGCTCTCTGAGCAATAATACGCAAGAACTGGGGAAGAGATGAGTGCAGAGGAGTTGGGAATAAGCATACCAGTTGGATAGAATTACTGTTTAGCATTGAGGCTTGGACAGTATGCTGAAAAATTAGGAGTGATGGAGCAGAAGAAGGCATATTGCTGCAGTCTACTGTCAGAGCCAAGGGAGATTGGTTGAGTTGTCTGGTTTTGTTCTGGGAAAGAAAAGGAAAGAAAAGGAAAGAAAAGGAAAGAAAAGGAAAGGAAAGGAAAGGGAAAAGAAAAGAAAAGAAAAAGGAAGGGAGGGAGAGAGAATGAGAGAGAGAAAGAAGCATAATCTGAGAAAGTAAAAGCTGCAAGGTGTTTGGAGTCCTCCTGAAAAATAAAAAAAGAAAAAAATATCTTTTTAAAGGGAATAGAGAAATTAGATGAGCAAAGTTTCAAAGGAGACAGATTTGGAAAGGAGTAAGTAGGGAATGGGCAGCAGTGAAGGGAAACGACTCAAGTGATTGTAGGGAGAAGGTAGCACCTTAACATTAGAGGACATCTGCCAGCCTCATACTCCACCCTGTTGTCTGTGTTAGGGTCTGGGTGGACCTCCCCTCCAAATGTTTCAGTTGCTTCTGTTGCTTTCTGTTGGATACCCAAGCAAGGAGATTTTCCCTTTTTGGGAGACTTGCCATTCGCAGAAAATTGGTGTTTCACCTTTTGCTTTCCCTATATGCTGTGATCTTAAGATGCTGTGTTCTCTCCCTGCACTCCACCATATGAGGTGGAATCTGAGAGAGCTGCAAGGTATCAGAAATTAAGCTTTGAAAATCTAGATAATAAACAGTAAGGAGACATGTCAGTGCTTTTTGTGGCAGGGGAGGATGGGTGTGGTAGAATGAATTAAGGTTTCACATGAGAAGAACGGACAGATTAGTGATTTAGTAAGGGTGCAGGCTTAGATTTTATTTGCTATTTGAGCAGTATAATTTGTGTCAGCCTCATGTTGATGTTGTTACTGCTTGTCATACTTGGTAGCAATGTGCTGAGCCAGGCAATGCGAATAACTTCAGATGTTAGTAACACCTGAGTGATTTGGGGAACTGCAAGGGCTTGAAAAAAAGTTTGTTTCCCTGTTTCAAGATAGTAATGATGCTACTGGTGGGATCTTAAAACCTCTCTTTTCACAATTGGGAGAATGTTTAATTTTTTGAAAGTGGAACATCTTCACTGGGTGAAAGTGAGAGGGATCTCTCTCAACATATCCTGCAGCATAGTGATGAGAGGTTTGCTCTCACAGGTGTGTGGTGATTTTGCTTTAAGGATGTTGAGGCGTGTGAAGATGTATTAGTGGGTTACAGAGCTGATTGCACATAATGGTAAAAATTATTTCCAGATAAATATAGAAACATAAGAAATGAGAGAGAAGAAAGGGAAAGATAAAACTCTTCCAGCAGCCAGGTGTGAAAAGAAGTGGCAGGCAGTGCAGACAGGCATCCTCTCTTGGATATCCTCTCCAATTCAGCAGCTGATTCCCTCCCAGGTAATACTTTTCTGATATTAGCTGTAATTTTTCATTAAGACCAACCCAAACTCCTTGTGGGCTCTTCCTACTAGTGATATTAGTGTCAACTGAAGCACACTTTGGTCAGTGGATGATGCTGTGTGCTAACTTCTTGTTGAGATGTGTCAACAACTCGTTGTTGAGATGATCCCTCTAATGTAAATCAAAAGCTACAATCAGGAGTAGGAGAAGAGGGGAAAGGAAGTATGATTCTTTCAGTAGTGGTAGTTAGTTCCCCTGAGAACCTACCATAACAACACTCTGAGGGTTGACGGGCCCAGATGGTGAGCATAAGAACAAGAATGGAAACAAGCTACCTCAGAGAGTCTGGAAGGTACTACCAGAGCATCTGGGTGGAAGGGCAAGACAGGAAGGCTACAGCGTCGCAGATGGAAGGCCCTTACCTATGGAAAGGGTAAAGGTAGGGAAGACACAGCGTGTCAGTGGGGATCCAGAACTCAGTATGGAAGAGGGATCTTTAACCTGGGTTTCAGAGAGCACTTGCAGCCTTTCTAAGACTTGAATGACCAAATAAAAGGAGGCCAGCTCTCTCCACTTCTTACTGTGATGTATAGAAGGGAGAGGCTTAGGCACCTGTCTCCAAGAGAAGGTTATTCCTGGAAAATATTGAAAAGCTAGGGCATATCCCTTTAGGCCAAAAGGATGATGCAGAGAGGGCTTCCTCCCTCTGACTGTTGGATGCCAAGCTGCTTTTTCAACCCTGCTGAAAGGTGAGGATTATTGTTTGGGTTAGGGTATCCAAATTTTATTTTCCCTCTTTTTCTGTTGTCCTGCATCTTAGCACAACAAGTAACAGATTTACTGAAAATCAAAGTAGATAGCTACTTCTCCATTATCCCCTGTTCCTCTCACCAGTTAAAAAAGCTGCAATAGCCCATATATGAAAGTTTTCCCTTTTAGAAAATAGAGGGTATCCTTCACTGTTTGTCTGTAATATGCTTAAAAATCATGACCTAGATGTGAAAGAGTTGGGTGATGGAAGCACAAATGAAAATAGTCAAATAAGGTGTCCTCATTGCAGTCATCATGCTATTTTAGGGGTAATTCAAGGATAATGAATTGATACAATGTTTTATTTAACAGGTTCTGCTTTAGATTTGCATTTTAATAATGTGAACGTTGCACCCATAGATAGAGAAACAGAAGATCAAGACAGCAGTGACCTTGGATTACCAAGTAAGAGTTCCAATTTGTAAAATTTTCTTACTTTTATAAAGTTTTACTTATCATGGTAGTTACAGACAGGAAAGACTCTGAAGAAGAGTCCTCAGTTTTGTTCCAGCTGTTTAACTTCGTGGCATGAAGGGATTGCACCACTGTCTGTCTGTATTTTTCAAGGGATCAGTCTAGTAAATGTTTTGGGTTTTTTTTTAACATACTTAACAGCTTGCTCCCATAGCATAATAGTTGATGGAAAGACATACATGCATTTACAGGAAAGCATTGTGCTTAAGCTTGACTGGGAAGTTGACCTCATGGAATGAGGGGAGAGGAAAACATAGCAAAGGAGAACAGTGCATGAAAGAGAGAGCAAGGGAGGAAGAATGGAGGGTGGGAGGAACATCAAGAAATTAAAACGCCACCTTTTCTTTCTGAAAGTAAAAAAGGGAAAATAATTGAGAGATCAAAATAGGAAGTTAAAACTGAGGAACTATAATTTCATTATCATATTCTTTTGAAAGTCATAGAGCAAGAGAACAGATTTATTTGTACTGCTTCCCTTTTTTTCTGATACCTGTTTTGCTTGCATTTCTTTAAAGGAGGTCTGTGCTGATTATTAAGTTGTTTGTGCATGTATATTCAGCTTCCAGTTGAGCAAACAAAACTGTATGTTCTCACTTCCTTCTTGCCCTGTGGTCCTAGACACAAAGTGTAAAACAACTATAGCTATGCCCTAATTTATTATTGCTGACTTGCTCCAAGAAGAAAAGCTTGCACTTAGTGTCTCTATATATTCTGCAGTTTTTCTTCCTTTAAGACAACAGTTGTATCTTGAGTACACTGGCTTTAACAAATGTATAGATACACATAATGTTGTTGGAATATGTAAGTTGTCACTGGGACCACAGTGTATAGGACAGTACCCAAGTATTACAGATTCAAAACTTTGTCATGAGGCATAGAAGTCATTTTGACCCAAGTGAACACCAAGTGCCCTCACTCCCTCAGGAAAGTGTGTATTATAAGCAACTCTAAATTGCTTCTTTTCAGAAATAACACAAATTTCTAGAGAGATTCAAATTTTTTCTCCTCCAAGTGCTTCCTTTGCAGTGAAAGGGGAGAGTTGTTTTCCATTATTATTCACGATACTCCCCTTCATACAGATCTGGAAATAAACTGATAATGTGTGCAATTTCAGATTTATTTCTCTGCTAGTGATGTCAGGCTCAACAATTCTCCTGACACTATAGTCTGACTGTTTTTTAATTTACTGCCTTGTTCTATACTGCAGGAATGGTTATGCTTCCTTGCAAGTCCCATGAAGAAGGAAACACTGTCACCAATTTTATTTGTATGTGGAGGGTAGTTTCTGCAGTTTAATAATTGTCCTTGGTGGGTAGCCAGACACCCATCCAGCTGCTCTCTCACTCCCCCTCCTCAACAGGACTGCAGGAGAAAATAGGATGAAAAAGCTCATAGGTCAGTATAAGAGCAGGGAAATTGCTCACCAGTTGTTGTATCAGGCAAAACAGACTTAACTTGGGGAAAATCAGTTTATTGCCAATTGAAATTGAGTTCAATGTTGAGACACAAGGAGAAGGACTACAGCAATCCCGTGCCGCCTTTTCCCCAGGTTCGACTCTTCTACCTCCCGCTTCCTGTCCTAAGCACTACAGGGGGATGGGGAATGAGGGGTACCAGTTCTTATCTGCCTCTCTTTCTTCCTTACACTTGTCCCTGCTCCAGCATGGGTCCTCTGCATGGGCTGCAGTTCCTGTCAGGAGAACCTGCACCAGCATGGCTTGTCCACACGCTGCTGTTCCTTCGGGCAATATCCACCTGCTCTGACCTGATCCTGTCCACAGGCTGCAGGGAGATTCCACCTTGTACCATAGTCTCTTTCATGGAGCGTAGGGAAGTACCTGCTCCACCATGGTCTCTTCCAAACCTTCCATAGGCTGCAGGGAAATCGCTGCTCCAGTGATTGGAGCACTTTCTTCCCTTTGTTCTTTTCTGACCTTGGTATTTGCATGGCTATTTCTCACACTTGTTGTTTCCTACTATGCCTGTGTGGCATTTTTTTGCCCTTTCTTAAATATGTTCTCCTGGAGGTGCCACCAGTGTGGCTTAAGGGTGCAACCGTGTCCTATGGTGGGTCCTCTGGGGCTGGCCAGTGCTGGCTGTGTCTGGCACGGGGCAGGCTGTGGCCCCTCCTGGCCACTCCTGCTGCCCCACTAACAAAACGTTGCCCTGTAAACTCAAGAAATGCAGGCAGATTCTATTTGCCAAAATTAATCTAGTTTTGAAGACTACTTTAAGAACCAGAAAAGGGATGGTTCTTCTACTGTTTCATACAGTGTTTGGCAGCTTTACGTTGGCTCTTGATTTTTATGAGAATTCTTACTTGGCCAGATTTTTTAAACTAAACTCTGTTTACTTTGGTGCTTCCTTGCTTCTCTTGCACACATGTATGCGAACATGGTATGTTATGTACATCTGTGTTTATATGTCCTGTATTTTCCTCACATACTTGGTCATGAGGCTGACCTTGGTAACATTTACTATTTAAAGATGCGTTTTTTTGAAAATGTTGTGGCAATGCAGAATGTGCATCTGCTGGCGCGTGGAGGTGTATTCCAGCGAGGGAAGAATGCGAGACAATCAATATGATTGATAGAGCAAACTCCAACTTTATTAGAAATGACAGGCACTTATATACCCTTAGGCTGAATTTTGCATATCCAGGGTTGCACTTATGATTGGTCAGTTGTACTAGAGCCTGCCACGGTCTGAACAGTGACTGGCTCCTAGGCTCAGGCTCAATCAGGACTCTCCACCCCATCTCCTCCTCTGGCACGTTCAGTGTTTACTTCGTTAACTCGCTTTTTATCAACTGGATCTCATGAGAGAGTCCTTGGTCGCTGAGGCCCAGGTGTTCTATCAGTAAAAACAGGATTGCTCACATATCCGATGTTTATTAAACAACCTGCAACATGCATCCCTGTCTTTTATTTCAAAATACTTCTAAAAGGATTGTGTTCTATTATCAGATGAATTCAGCTGTTTTAAGCAAAACCAGAAAACTAGAATTATGACCCTTTAAGGATAAGCATTTGACTGCTTTATTTTTTTTTAAGAAAAGTTGATGTCGTTTTTAGTTGCTGTTCAAACATACTGATGAAGAAAATTTTCATTGTAAATATTGAACTATTTCCTGACTAGAACTATGCATCTGTGCATGTTTATTTAAGTAACTGCATGTTTGAACATTCTTTTTTAATTACCTATATTTTATTATTATAATTATTTTAGGAAATTACGAACCATGCGTTTGACTTTATAAGTTTGACTAACTTTGACTTAAGTTAATATTAATTTTTACTTTATTTCAAACTGAGTTTTCATAGAGTTAAGTACATTTGACATTTTTAAAAGGTACTGAACAAAAGTAGAAGTATATGGAGGAAATAAATTGAGCTATGTCTAATTATTATGCTGAGAATGATTTTCAAGGTATGTAGTCTTGCTTAACTCCAGTGTATGTATTACGATAAAAAACTAAAAATTGTTCTTAATCCTTTAATTTTTTGTTAGTTTCTCCAATTACATTAGTTGTTGGCTGTAAATAAGTAAGTCAATGAACTTGATCTTTTCTCTTGCTTTGTAGCTGCAGATGAGGCCATTTCTGCACAAAGCTGCAAATTCTGTTTTCAGGCACTTGGAAAACTACTTTTAAGTGTTCAATCTAAAAAATATTTCTGGAGATAAAGTTCTTTTTTGTTGGTTTTTTTTTTGCATGGAAGGTCTTTGCATATATACTTGAATTTACATACGATAACTTTTTCAGAGAAATACTGAGAGTGCTGTGTACTGCTTTGGAACAATTTTTTTCTTCTTTTTTTTCTCTCCCTACTACACATATAGGTCGAAGGTTACTGGGAAGTTCAGCACCTGTCAATATTCCAGGCTCTCTTGTTTGTTCCTCATCTTTGCATTCATCATCATCCCTTTCAGCCTCTCCACTCAGTTCTCTTTCACAGTCACTCTCTCAGACTTTTGTTTCATCCACTGTGGCTCCTCAGCCTCTGAAGACAGAACATAGTATGTTAGGTACCTCAGCCTCTTCTCACAACTCTTTAGGTAAGTAAGTTGAAGGCTGCAGCTTGTGTATTTTAAGAGGGAACTCAATGGCAGGTAAAAAATGTTCAGATCAAGGCTTTGCATACTTCTTACGACTGAATCTGGACAACAAAACCTGGGTATTGTAATTGATAACACTGCTGATAATGGAGTTATATATGGTATGTGGGAAAAAGTTAAAGGAGTGAACTTCCATTCCTAGTGAAGGGAAAAAAAAGAACTATTGGAAGAGGAAATATTTACAAAGGCATTTGAAAGGGGTAAAATACAGCAGTTGGCATACAGGCAGCAGGGAGTACATTTTAGCTGCAGCATTTTGCTAAAGGAAAATACCAAACAGAGAGAGAATTAAAATTGTGTGAGCTGCAAGGAACAAAGTTTTTTGTATATAAACAAATTCCCACTCTTCCTTCATTTGTGGATCGTACTATCTTTTCATTAAAAGCTACAAAAAACCCAACATGGCAGGTCTCCTGAATTGTTTTAAATACTGCAAACGTTTTCCAGACTGTCCCATTTCTGAAGGTAGTAAAATAATGTGATGAGCCTTGCAGATAAAAGTATAGATTTTGTGTATGTGGCACATCTGTTTGGTTCTTCATTTTTCACTCTATCTTTTCATTAAAAGCTACAAAAAACCCAACATGGCAGGTCTCCTGAATTGTTTTAAATACTGCAAACGTTTTCCAGACTGTCCCATTTCTGAAGGTAGTAAAATAATGTGATGAGCCTTGCAGATAAAAGTATAGATTTTGTGTATGTGGCACATCTGTTTGGTTCTTCATTTTTCACTAATGCAGGCAGAGGTAAATTTTTTTTTTTTTTTTTTTTTTTTTCTACTTTTGTTTTACAGGTTTAAATGGGGTTACAGGGAGCATTTGGGACTTTGTAGCTGGGGGTTTCTCCCCTAGTCCATCCCCAGTACTGAGCAGCGGCCCTGGCCCCTCAATAAGTGCAAACACCAGTGGGAATGAGCTAACTCGAGTAAGACAGGAACTTGATGATGCCAAGAGAAAGCTAAAACAGTGGGAAGAATCTTGGCAGCAAGTAAAACAGGTACACTAATTTGCAGTTATATTCAGTTATATAGATTTATTTTTTTTTAACAAGCAAGCAGCTCCCACAGCCTTTCCTTTTTTAATTTCTTCTTATCCTTGGACCCAGAGTTTTATAACAACTTGTCAAAGGAATATTTTTTTTTATCCTTAAAATGAGCTAGTGGCATAAAGGAAACTGAGCTTTTTAAAGGGCAAGTCATTTTCTGAAAGTTGATCTGCGTCCAGACAGGGACACTTAACACATATTCAAGATAGGGTTGAATATGTATTGATATTTAATATGAATATGAATATGTATTGATGTTTAAGTAACTAAACACATACATTCCCTGCCATACCTCTTTCAGATAAGCACACAAAAATAGTCTTGCCAGCAGCTGTGGCTGTATAGTGTACCTGGACAGTATCTAGCCATCTCAGCAGTCAAACTGGTTGTTGGTAACTGCCAGTGTAATGCATTTTCTGTAGTCCTTTCCTTCCCCTAAGGTTGTTTTCTCTGTGTCAAGGAGTAGCTAAATAACTGTACTAAATTCTGATAGTTTTTGATGTCTTTGACATTCAATTTTGAATTTAACATTTAAAATGTGATCCATTTATAGAGCTCCAAAAGGCCTGTGTCTGTTTACAGACAAGTAACAGGGACATACCTAAAAATTACATTAAGACAAAACAGGAAAAGTTGTTAATTAGAAGAGAGGATAAATAGGGACAATCATTACATTTGACAGAAAATGCATTGTTATGTCTAAAATTAGAGATTACATGCATCTTTGAAAGCTTTTGAATTTGCTCGTTGTTAATTACAAACATTTATTTTCTATTTTCTGGAAATATTTTTCTCCTAGGCATGTGATGCATGGCAAAAAGAGGCTCAAGAAGCAAAAGAACGTGCTGACATTGCAGATGCAGACAAACAACTCGCTCTTCAGAAGAAGCAGGAAGTGGAAAATAAGTTAAAAAAGCTGAAGGTGCAACTGGCTGTTTGTCTATCTACTACATTACCTTATATGAAAAATGATGGAGATACAGAGAAGATATCCTTGCCAAAGCTTCGTTCCTTACAGAATCGACTGCACTTAGATTTAGAAACAATAGATGAGGTGAGTTACTTCATCTGCATAACCATTTTGATTCACTGAAACTGGCAGCTCAGTGACTTTCAGGAATACACTCACACTCTGCTTCATTTCAAAGAGCAGCATTGCTCTTACTCAATGTGACTTTTCTAATTCTTCTAATTTTTTTAGTGAGCTATGGGAAGAAATAGCAAATCATTCACAAGAATTACTGGGGTGATAAAAAAAGATAAATTAAAGCCAGCTTTTACCCCAAAAATTTTGGGCACTACCTAAATAAATAAAATGTGTTGCCCTTAAAAGTTAAAATAGTTACATGCTTTGAACCTTAGAAAGGTTAAAACCACCTTTAGAAAGTAGGTGGTGAGGTTTGCTGCTGAGAGTTGTGTAGTCAGAAAGGCCAGTACAGACCTGGAGTATAGAATCATTGACATTAGAAGGGGCCTCTGGAGATCATCCAGTCCAACCCCCAGCTCAAAGCAGGGTCAACTTAAAGCAGGTTGTTCAAAGTATTGCCCTGTCGTGTTTTGAAAATCTCTGAGGAAGCAGAGTTCACCACCTCTGAGGACAACCTTTTTACAATGTTTGACTATTCTCACAGTAAGAAAAGTTATTTTCTTATGTCTGTGTGAAATTTTGTGTATTTTAATTTGTGCCCATTGCTTCTTCTTCCACTGGATATAGCCGAGAAGAGGCTTTCCCTGTCTTTTTTACTCCCTTCCATCTGGTATTTATACACACTGGTAAGATGCCATATCTTCTCCAGGCTAAATGATCCCAACTCTTTCAGTCTTTCCTCATGTGTCAGATACTTCAGTCCCTTAATCACCTTAGTGGCATATTTCTGCATTTCACCTTCTCTTGAATCCAGACTCAGTTTCTGCCAAAATTTAGAATGCTCTTTCACTGGGAGATTGAGGGCATTTCTCAGGGCTCTCAAAGCTGGGAATATCAGGTGCCACTCCTGAGCACATCAAGGAGAATAATAATGGCCACTTTTCCAGGAAACATACCTCAAACCTTGCTGAGTGCAACTTGGTTTCACATTGCCTTCTCCTCTGCAGTCTTAAAGGGCATTGACACCACATAGGACACCAATTCTTGCTGTTTTGTTTTTACTGTGACAGGACTGTCCAGACAAAAAAAATTCAAAATGTTCCACTACTGAGACAATCTGCCACACTTCAGTAACTGTTTGAGTTCAGCAGTGTCTTCTTTGTCTCAGTGCATCTCCTGTCCAGTGCCATCTGTACCAGTATGATCTACAGCCTTAAAAAAGAACCTGTCTCTCTTTTGAAGAGTTTAAAACATGATTTTTAAGTCTTTGTCAATAAAATGGGCAGATGAGGATGAGAACTGCTAGTTACCCAGCTCCTGTTATTAAGTGCATTTACAGCATTCTGGATTGGATTAGAGACCACTGTTGTTTTTCTCCTAAGAGATTCTAAAGAGGAGCAAAAGAGCCTTGGGAGCTCTTGCCAAAGAAGTAATTACATCCTGGAATAGAAAGCATGTCAGCCAGACTGGAGTCATCAGAACCGTTACCACCTTTTCCAGCTCCTCAGCTTCTCAGGTTTCTTTTACCACTGTGGCTTCTTCTCACCTACCTCTTACTTCCTCGAGAAAGTTGCTGTTTTAGGCAATGCCACATGCAGCATTCTGAGCGTAGTCTGAACCATGTCTTACACTTCAAAAATTAACATGGCTTTTAGATACTTTTAAATTAATCTTTTTCCTTATTAGGGTTGATACGGCTTCTTGCATTTATTTACAGTTGTAAGATCCTCCTTGAAGTTTCTATCAGCAGTTTCATTCAAAGTATCTCACATTTTGGATGGTTCCATTTTGTGAATATCTCCCATGGCAAAAGAAAATGTAAATGAAAATGAAATGCTTGAAATGGCTTGAAATGGCAAAATGAAGGAGTATGATAATGAAAAAGGCTTACTTCCCCTTTTGTTGTTGTTCTTTTTTCTTGTTTGCATCACACATCCCAGTTATGCAGGAAAATTTCAGTCCAGAGGTTCAGTCCTAGATATTATCCTTTCTAAAGCACCTAACTCCTCCATCTGCTACTTTACATGGTATTTGTGCTCTGTTCTGATGACCCTCAATTGAGCTGTCATGCAAAAAAAAATACTGTCCTTTGTGTTGTTAAATTAGAAGTTTATTTAGGACAGCCAAGTCTAAAGCTGCTACAATGTAATTGTATTTGGAATTTGGAATAATTTTTATTGAGTTCAATAATCTTTTTACAGGTGATTTTTCAGCTTCAGTCAAAGAAGTGTATTGTATGTCAGGAAGGTGATCGTAACATTATCCTGAACCCATGTCAACATTATGTACTTTGTGATCACTGTGCAGCTGCACAAGAAGAATGTCCCTGCTGCAAGAAAAACAGTAATCTGTGGTAACATAAAGGCATAGTACTTCTGTCGTGTTCATGAATTAAATCATTTTATGCTTTTGTAAAGGAATCATATCACTCATTATCAATCAATTTGATAGTGCTAGACTGATTTCCATTTTGATGTGAGAAATGTGATTGCTTAAAGGTAGAGAATAAGGCTTGCTCACCTTTGCATACCAATTTCAGTCTTGTTCATCACCCCTCCTCCAACTCTTATCACAGCCTTTCTGACTTCCACTTACATTCTTCGTGCACAACCTGCTTAGGTTCATTTGCACTGTAATCACTTTGCATAACTGTTGCCATAATACTTAAATTGAGTGTTTATTTTCATTACAAGAAGATGGATGCATAGATAACTACACACTCAACAGTACAAATAGTCCCTTTGCCATGTCTCTGTGTGTGGAACGCCAGAGCCAGTATTTTGGAATCAGTCTTAACACTATGTTTACTTGGATGCTTGAATAACTATGATTATAAAAGCGCTTTTTAATTATTGTGTTTTGTTAGACAATATGTTATAAATTGCTTCAAGCTGCTTTCCAGGTCTAAAGTTTATTTTTTAATATGCAATAATATGTCATGTTATATGTGTACTGTGAACTTAAAATATTTCACTTGATTTTACTGTTAAATCACAAAATGACAACTTACCTAATTTTTTACCATTTATGAGTTAACTGCATACTGTAGGATTCTTCAGTGTGGATGTTTGTAGTCTTTAAGTTTTTGTACATCTCCTAACGTACAGATCAGGAGCAGATAAGATATATATATAATGCTACCAAGTGCCTATGCCAAATATCCTATAAAATGGCAGAAGACATTAAAGAAATTGCAAATAGTTTCTGTTGCTGAATTTTGTATTGAACAGTTTGACAGTAACTAGACTGTCTTTTGCTTTTATGAATATTTCAAAATACACTTTTTCAGTAATGAAATAATGTGTGTTTGAAAGGAACTACAAAATTATTTAAGTATATAATCAGGCAGTGACACTTTGATACAGTGATTGTTTTAAAAGGTAGTAATATCCTTACTTTGGGAGCTTGGTTGGGAACATGCATTTAGGAGGAGAAATTAATTACTGCATGCAAACACTGTATATTTTTACTTACATGAAGTAATTGCCTGCATTACTCCTTTTTCTCTTAAATTCAGGTGTGACACTTAGTACAACTTAGATTTAAATGACCTACTACTGTGTTATATTATTTGTATCTCTGTATGACCATATTCAGTACAAGAAGCTGAGTTCACACAGGCAGCAAGGGTTAATCTATTCAAAGTTCAGTCATGCTAAAACAAAAAACAAGCGGTTTACAGAAACTATTATTGTTGAGCTTTTAGAACTGTGTCGGCAACAGAAAAGGGCCCAAGCCAATAGTACTGAAATCATGATCTCCTTTGGGTTTTAGCATTCTGTGTGTGAAGGTTTGAGTTAGCAAAAACTCATGACATATTTTCTTTGAGACTAAATGTACAGATTTGTCCCTGTGTCTCTTAAGACGTGTTGATCTGCAGCAATGTTGGAGGCCTTTTGGGACAGAGAAGTAGGATAAAATATTAAAATACATTTCTGCTTACTTCTGTTTCAAAATTTTGTCTGAAGATCACTTTAAAGTTGGGTTTAATACTGTGATTTTGTTGACTTTGTTTCTCTACTTGGACTTGAAAGTTGCATTTTCAAAAACATTTTTCTGTCCTGAAGCAAGATACTGCCGTTTTAAACGGGACTTGGTCACCAAATTTGGCTGTAGGTATTAATGTATTTTTTGCATCTGTGCAGTCTATGACAAAGAGTGATTTTTGAACCTTAACAGCATTTTGAACTAAAGCAAATTCACTTATGATTTTCCTAATCTCATGACATAAAAAATGTAACGTAAGCAACACTTGCAATGTGAATAATCACATTGACATTTATATGTTCTACGTTTTAAAGGAAATTAACTAATATGTGTAATTTGTTGCTTTTTGTTGTTTGTCTTGTGTTTTACAATGATGAATCTTGAAAATAATTGTATGTGTCATCAGTACTGAAAGTTTTGCAAGTGTACCGATTTGAGTTTCTTTGGTGCTGAATTACAGACATATTTGAAAATTATTGATAAGCCATTTTGTGGAGAAGGAAAAAAATCATACCAAAGACATACCTATGTGTGAAATTCCCTGAGTGGGCAGCTTGCTGTAATTGTAGATGGATGAATCCTTGAGTGATCACTTGAACCCTGCATAATCATACATAGCAGTCATATGAAAAGAATATACTTGTCCTTCATGTCTTTTTTTTTAATGAGGAATTACAAGCAAAGTTTTCTGTATCTTATTAAAATAAGTCAACTGCAAATACAAATAATTACATACTTTTACACTAGTACTTTAAAATGGAAGATAGGAAAATACATGCAGTTGACTAGAGATAACTGTTTGGAAGAAGTCTGAAGTGAAAACTGACCTTTGTAAGCATTCATACTTGCACTTATATACACTATCTAGGAACTGGATACATTATAATTATATTTTAGCAAGACTACAATATGGTAATTCCCTAAATTTGATAAATACATAAAAGCAAACTAAATAGATTTTTAAGATTCATTTTGATGTTTGACAAAGTTCTATGTTAATTTGTGTAAGAATGTATTTTTTAATGTGAATGCCATTATGTAGTCACAATTATTTTATAGCCTGGGGAATTAATACATTAAAATTGTGATTTCTCAGGGTTTTTACAGTTAGGAGCTGTAATTTAACCAGAAGTATGCTAATTACAGTTAGATTCCCAAGCTACATGTTACAGGCTTATTATTAGTCTTCTTTGAATAGCAGATTATTCGATATACTTGTTTTGTTCTATATTGCTGTTCATAGTATCCTAGTATTAAATATAGGTAGTGATATTACTACTGTCACACTATGCTTGTGTAATTGTGGTCGTAATTGGGCCCTAAATAAATACGGAATTTCTACTCATATTAATTTATGGAAGCTGTTAATGTTTTGAGTGTACAAAAAGAAATGATTTTGTGAATTAAATTGTTCTTAATACCAAACATTATTTATAATGCATTACTCATTTACTTGTAGTGAAGTGTTTAAATTTAACACTTGTAAAACTTTTCTACACTATAGCATTTATGCAATGGTTTACAGAAGTCATGGAATTATTTTTCTTACCACCATGGAAATAAAATTTTGATCTTTATTTCTGAACTGTACTATGTTTAGAGACTCAAAAATTCCCAGATATGTTTTCCCTCTGCAGTCTAATTATGGCATTCCTAATAATTTCAGGGTTTCAGCCATTGGGACTGGCATGTCTAGAAAGAGGTCTGACTACGATACAAAAAAACTGATTCAACAGAACAGTCTACAAGACAAGAGGCTTCCAAACTAATTACAATATAATCACTTTTCCATTCCGTCCGTCACCCTGGCATGCGTGGCCATGCCCATCCCGAGTCCCTCTCTTCCCCCAGCCCGCGGGAGGCCCCGCGTGTCCCTGCTCTGCAGTGCTCGTGGCCCCACCTCTCCGGGCTGTGTCCCTGCCGTGTGCCAGGTGTGCCTGGCCCTGCCCTCCGTCTCCTCGCAGCCTGCCCGGCCCGTGCTGGCTGCTTCACCAGCAGGAGGTGTGAGCGGTGGAAGCCAGGGCGGGTGTCTAATGCTGATGCTAAGGAAAGGAAAGTTAATAATAGGGCGCTGCTCTATTCAACCAGGATGGATTGAGACCTCTGGCCCACTGAAAGCTGAGGGGTGGATGCTAGGGAGGCCTCAGACGATGCAGGTGACAGGGTTGGGAATTGCAGGGAGGGAGCCTGGGGCACCCTAGGTGGGTTTCCTTCTTCTGTAGTTAGGAGGTATATGCAAAAGGCAGAGAGACCTCTGGTCTCACCAAGCTACCTGTGGTTGTGCGGGTGACTTGCTTTACAGGGTGTGCTTGTGTTGTTTCAGATGCAGAGCAACAAGCAGCACGGC